TGGCGCAATTGAGTGGCGCAAAATGCCTACGTGGGCTCCGAGTTCTAGAAATGAGTCGAGTCATTGCCGCCCCTTTATCTGGGAAGACTTTGGCAGCTCACGGAGCCGATGTTATCTGGGTAACCTCGCCTCGACTCCCTGACCTACCGACTATGGATCGAGACTTTGGCCGGGGCAAGCGTACCGTCCAACTCGATATAAATAACGCGGCTGACAAGGAACAGCTGATAGAACTAATCAAGACGTGCGATGTGTTCATTCAAGGATTTCGACCTGGGAGCTTGGCTGCCAAGGGGCTTTCACCCGAGGAATTGATCAAGCTTAACCCAAGTATCATTATTGCCAATATGTCTGCGTTCGGACCTGATGGCCCGTGGTCTGGTCGACGAGGCTATGACTCGCTTGTACAGACTTGTTCTGGCATGAACATTTCCGAGGCCGAGCATGCAGGCCAAGGAGAAGTTGCTCGCCCAACACCCTGCCAAGCCCTCGACCACGCTGGGGGTTACTACCTTGCCTCTGGAATAATGACAGCCTTGTATCGGAGGGCCACCCAAGGTGGCTCTTGGAGAGTAGATGTCTCGTTGGCCGGTGTCATGAAATATCTCCACAGCTTGGGCCAATATCCTGGGTCAACAGGATTCCAGTGCAAGGACTTTGAAACGCCGTCAGATGTTCCCGCAGAATATATCGAAAAGAGACCAACCGGTTTCGGTGTGATGGAGGCCATCCGTCATAGTGCCTCAATTGAAGGTTGTGAAGTTGGCTGGGAAGTGATGCCCAAGCCTCTAGGTTCCGACACCCCTCAATGGCTGTAGCTTGTACAATTAGTCGATTTAGTTTAGTTGTTTGTTGATAAATTGAATTTCCATACCAATATACATATCATGTCTTTTCATACAATGAATAACCAATGCGTGTCGCGGTTTCCCCTTCACCAAGCCTGATGGATGGGATAACGTCGAATGATTCTAGGCCATGATGGACACTCATCTTACCTCTCAAACGCAAACGCCTGGCTATGTGATCTGAGCTTCAAAACTGAATCATCAATTATGCTAGAGAGGTTTACTGAACCGATCCAGCGAACTAAGACAGCATCTTCGTTATAGAATAGCAGTATCCAGCCCGTTCCCCACTTGTCTAAACACTTCGGTATCTTGTTCGGCTTTTGCTTCGGCATGTTCGCCCACCCTTCCACGCAATCCCAGATGACACTTTTTCTCGGTATTGAGGATTCAAATAACAATCTCGGTACGGCAGGTAGTACTAGAATAATTAGCCCGAGTTTCTTGCGGCGGATGAATGGGCACACTCTGATTGGTGCACATTTCAGAGTCCCCTCGGTTTTGGGTTGCCCGCATTTTCAACCAGGCGTACACCGACACTGCGAGACATACACATGAGTCATTTTTACTACTTTAACATTATTGAATCAGTGTGCGTCAGAGGCAGCCTAGAAGATAGCGACCGCCCCGGGAGGACTTGCAACGCCTCCTGGAATGTTCAATGGTACACTGACTAACATGAATGTCCACCTCCCTTCCTTCTGGCATTTGGCAGCCAGCTTTTCCAAGTCAAAGCTCTCCCCAATTGGCATCCCCCACCCGCTTAAGAATACTTCGTGCATAGAGACACCATATGGCTTTGTGCTTGGCCATGATTCATAGGCGACAGTATCACTAGCCACCGCTGCAAACGCGTTGTCCCAATGCCATCGAATGGCAGCTTCGCTGGCCTGAATCCCACAGGACGCACGTATCGCTCTACTGGACAAGGCGACCTGAGCAGCAGGTGACAGAGCACGGTATGCCGGAATCCAACCGGTGCGAATGAGGAGGATATCGCCCGGAAGAAACTCAACCTTCTGTTCCTTGACCACTTCTAGAATTTGCTCAAGGGGAATCTCGTGCCTAGAGAAGTGATCAATCTCGATGTCTTGTTTCTGTGCCCATGAGAACCAATCGAGCAAGACGCCACGGCCAGTGATGGTCTTTTCCGCAAGATCTACCGCAAGATACACTGGTCAGTAGATGCTTAGGGAGGTTTCAGATGAAGCTTGGACGCACTTTGAATGCCGACTTTGAAGTTTAGCTCCTCTCCCGAAATATCTTCTTGCGTTACCCCATTGTAGTACTTCAAGCTCTCTTGGTAAGGGTAATGTCTGAGACCATCCCAATGACTAGATCCTTGAGTATTGATGTCGAGCTAGAGTTTTGGATTGTTACACATTGAAAGCCTAAATTAGAATAATTAATACGAACCTCGTCATCGTTGGCATGACCCTTCACGATAATGTGGTGAGAACACGGTTTGCGTAGCGGATTCATCGGTTGAATGAATTCATCCAGGGGCAGACTAATACAAATCGTTAGGCAAAGTGCGTCTCGCAAAATCATATACTTTTCAAGCTACACATACTTGAGGGGGATAGTCTCTCCATTGACAACCTCTTTTGCGGCCCTTCTGACAGCATCTGGAGTCAGCAGGTTGAGAGTACCTAGTTCGTCCTGGTCTCCCCATAAGCCCCAAGCAGAGGCCGGCGGGTCCGTAGGTGCTAGTGGTAGTTCGCTGAATTTAGGGCGAGGGTTTTCTAAAGATTTGGTAAGAGTCATGATCAGGATGACGGGAGGTGGCAGTGACCTCTTCTGCGGTTCCACAAGTCACAGTTGGGATGGGGCGATATTCTCTCTTTCTGTTGCACGTCTAGCAAGGAACAGTTCCATTATTTAAGTACTGCAACCTAAGCATCACATACAAGCTATTCTACCTTCGGTGTGGGCATGAATAGTCATCCCTGTTGGTGGACGGCTGACGGAGCTCGCTCCATCGGCATTTCGGTATCTTCGTTTTAACCTTCGGGTTGTGTTGAAATGCGAGTGTTCCAGCCCCAGATTCGTGTTAGGGCACTACTAGCTCGGTTTATCCATAGAAGGCTACCCCCTTGGCCTGGTAAGTGTCCAGACCGATGCTATTCACCGACAGCTCTAGCCGCCTGGCGTCTATGGCAGCCATCACAATGTACCTAGCTTATGGAGAGCGAGAGAATTTCAATAACCACTCGTTTCTGCCAATGCCACGCATCAACTCTGTGTCTAGAAAGCAATCACAGACATGGTGTTTATTTTATTCATCGACTCAATAGACATCTAGCCATAAATCTTCGTTATCATAGCCTTGGCCTCGTCGCTGAAATTGTAGGTCTGCCCTCCCATTGCCATCTTCGCCATAAAATCAGTCCCATTTTCGAAAACGATCTTCTTAATCATGAAGCCCCTTGACACAAGATTCTCCAACTTGTCCTTCACCTCAGCTTGGGTAAGTGTTGGAAAGGTTGCAGAGTTGCCGTTCTTGTCCTTGAGAGCCTTGGTCTCGGCATCCCAGGTCAGCTCCCACTGATATGAGGGATCGCCGTAGGCCCAGGGGTTGCCAAGTTCCTTGGTCTTTCGGGAGGCATGCTGAGGGAGAAAAGGGAGGATGTTGTCAATATAGGTGGTTTGCACAAAGTCGGTGGTGAAGAAGAGGCCCATGTGGGTGTTGTCGGTGTCAATGGCGGAGACTTCGGCGGTTGGCTTCTGAAGGAATTTGAAGCCGGGGTCGGCGAATAGAGCACGGAGGAGTGCAGCGTAATCAACCGCCAGCTCGTATACCTGAGCCGGGGTGGGGTGCTGAGAGGGATCCAGGTCTGCGACAGCCATGATGACAGGCGCTGAAGAAATTGAATGAAAGTGGCGAGACTTTGGTCGATTTCAAGATTGATTGCAGCTTGTGCTGGCCAGGAGAGGAAGAGTCAGCTATCTCAATTGCCTTTGCTGATCGTGATGATGCAGTCTCAAAGACGGACTGAGCAATCTGAAATGGACCCTTCAAAAGTTTAGCGTCTATCGCGACGCGTCGCGTCGGATTCGCGTCAAGTTTGCGAAATCACCTACCCTACATAGAGAAGTAGCTGGCATGCAGTGACTTCACTTTACCTACTTTTAGGAAATATTGACAAGTGATGGGTATTTCCAACCAGTTGGCATATTGGGCTAGTCGGATAATGTAAAAACGGATCAAGAGAATACCGAGATCAGTACTTATCAAAGTGAGAGTTTTTGCAAATGCTGACGAAAGGTCACTAGACCCGTTTACTTTAGGTAATCTCCTGCACGATAAAAAGAACATTAAGCTTTATACAAACGGATTTTGGAGGCTGAACGGAAAACCTTGATTTATTATTATATGATTCATTTAAATGGAAGTTCAACAAAAGAAAAAGAAAGTATCATGGTCACTTGGAGACAAACAAGCGAGCAAAAAATTGGACGAACAGGGAATCGAACCCTGGACCACTCCCAAACACTTTCAGTAGCTGAAAACATGCTAAGGGAGTATTATACCACTAAACCATTCGCCCAAGAGGTGAGTGACCACTAGTGGTGCTGCTGGACGGTGGGGCAATATTCTTGCTCATGGACTTGTCGCCCAATTTCCATCGGGCATCCAGCTGAAAGAATTCCTCGGTTCAGCCGTTCGCCCAAACAGGATCGTCGTATCTGCACCAGCCTAAGGGAAGGATCTAGGTACCTCTCTGTTGCGCGACTTCTTGTCTCGAGTTGACGATTATTGAGGTAGAAATGCTGATTATCCTACTTGTAAAAATCGGCGAAAAGAATGGTTGATCAATGCATATGAAGCTCGGTTCTTTCGAGCAATTGAAATATGATGGTATCGAAACAGATTAAGCACGGGACCAACACAAGTCTGCCTTGCCAATAATGTATGCCAGCTGAGCCACGGCTGGAAAATGCCGTCCGTCGCTCACGATTACTGGCTCTTCCCAAAGCCCCTCTTTGTCTGAAGCCCGCCACACCTCCGTGAAACCCAACAGGCCATCAGCATATTCATCCCAAGCCCGCGCGAGCTCAACTTTAGTGCCGAGCATCTAGACCCCAGCCTTGCATGATCTCAGGTTGAGCACCCGACCTCTATGCCTACCTCTCGCTAGTTCTACCGCGATGGATGGCCGGGCCGCAGGGAGAGGGGTTGATGGCGTTGCGCGTCACGCTCAAGGGCCAAGCAGGCCATCTGCAACTGCAACGAGAGGAGGTCGTCCAAGCAGCCAAAGACCCTTTTCCAACCCGTCACAGGACGTCGCGAATCAGGTTCGGGACAGGCGAAGGCCGGCCTCTCTTTCGTCTGGCCGACGGGTGATTGCTACTACCCGTGCCAAGTCTGCGTATCAAGTCGGCTATTCCAAGGATTGCACCTTTGAGAAAGGAGACACCATCAATGTCTTTGAAATAAAAGACCACAACTGGTGGTTTGGTCAGAATATACGGACGGGCCGGAGTGGGGAGTTCCCTTGCAGCTATGTGACAATAATAAAAGGCAGCACCGGTATGGGCGTTCTGGCTAGGTTTCGCCCTGTACATGATTTCAAAGCCCAGGAGAAAGGCGACCTGGACATACTGGCGGGCCAGACGGTCTTAGTCACTGAACTGTCAGAAGACGGCTGGTGGAAGGGGAGAGTCGAGGACTCCAACGGCCCTGAGGGGATGTTTCCCCGGACCTATGGTGTAGTCATCCGATCATCCATCCCGAAATCTCGCCCACAGTTCTGGAAGGGCCCTAAGAGTGAATTCGAGGCGTACAGCCATGTTGACTATAAGGGCGATCTCCACTTGGGCTTGTCATTCAAAGCTGGGGACAGACTGCTCATCTACGTCCGGCTCAGCAGTTTGCTTTCATGGGGCGTGAACCTGGAATCGAATTATCAAGGAGTCTTCGACCATACATATGTTAAGCCCTATGGCAATCCTGACAGCGCAGGCATCATCTAGGCTAATGCCATAGCCAGCTACGACGGCACCGTCCTTGCAAACTTGGCTTTCGCGAAGGGTGATATACTTGTGGTCAAACACATCTTGGACTATGAAGTCGCATGGGCAAGAAACAGCAAGACAGGCTTAGAGGGTCTTTGCCCGGAGGCTCTCATTCATATGCCCGCCGCCCCGTCAGAGAAGAAAGTCTCGAAACCCCATATTATTTCACCGTTTTCACCGAATAATGTGACTGCATTATATACTTGGCCTGGAGAGTCAACAGAGGATTTGCCAATTGTCAAAAATGACCGGATATGGGTCATTGAAACTCTGGGTGACGATTGGTTAAAGGGCGTTAATGGGCGCACTGGCAGGATAGGCGAATTTCCGAGAACCTTCGTTCGCTTCCAAGAGGTCACAGACTCTCAAGGTAAGAGAAGTTCTTCGGGGAATATCGAAACGTTAGCTGCCTCTCAACCTCAACCGGCCGCTGCCACTTCAACGAAACGTATTCAAATACCACCTTCTCCCCCAGCTGTCAAACCTGTATCGCGAAGCGGGCCTGTGAGGCAACCTGATTTGACACCGGGAGCTACAACTCCGACGGAGAGCACTCAAATCCCGCTTTTACAACTGCCCGCCAGATCTATATCTGGAAGTAGATTGGACACTGACCTGGTCCGTGACTCGAAGCTCGATACGTCATTCACTGGTGAGGATGTAGTCTGCCATACCTCCTATACATTCCACCCCAGAAACCGCAACAACCGTATCGTCGTGGAAGAGAAATGGAAGGTGGAAAGATACCTCGGGCGCGGTGGCTTTGGCCAAGTTGATCTACAAAAGTGCGTGCAAGGACCGAAGGAGGGTGAACTCCGTGCTGTCAAGAAGATAATCAAGAATCCATATGATGACGAAACCAAGAAGATCAATTATGATCGGGAGCTTGAGGCGATTGCCAAGTTTTCTCATGAGAAGGCAAGTGAGACTAAATTCATATTCTGGTATCCAGAAGCTAACCAGCTCTGTTCTTTATAGTACGTCCATTGCTTTGCACGCTCGTTTGGATGGTATGAGAATGAAAATGCCATCTTCATAACTATGGAGTTTTTTGAACACGGGGACTTGCAAAAGCACATGCGAGGTCGCTTCCCGGAAATTGAGGTTGGACAAATCACCTCTCAAATTCTGGAGGGTCTCAGTTATATGCATGATAACGGATTTGCTCACAGGGACTTGAAGCCTGCTGTAAGTCTGCTGACCCAGAAACCGATCAACCAAGACACTCATTTTGACACACATCTTAGAATATCCTCGTCAAAGAACGGTCGCCGAATTGGTGGGTGAAGATCAGCGATTTTGGAATCTCCAAGCGTGCCAGCGGTGACCACACAGCGTTGCACACCCTTGTTGGGACGCCACGATACCTTGCCCCAGAGGTGATGAGAATCTTCTCCCCAGAGGATACGGATGATCTGGACAGTGAGACCATGGCTTATACCGTGGCAATCGACCAGTGGGCGCTAGGGGCCATCGCGTTTCAACTCCTCGCCAGCAGAGATCCGTTCCCGCAACCGCGCTCTCTTCAGACCTACGTACATGGCAAGGAGCCATTCCCCTCTAGTGTTTTGACAGAATTGCGAGTAAGCGAGTCATGTATAGAGTTTCTGAAGGCCCTGCTTGCACCAATACCTTCCCGCAGACTAAATACAAACACTGCTTTGAAACATCCATGGTTAGAACAGATCAGCCAATCCCCCCAGCTCTTAGACCAAAGGTATGTGAAGAATTCTGGATGTTGCTTGGCATTATTGAGAGACTAACCTTCAAAAGTGTTACATTGATAGAGGAAGAATTTTCTCTTATTCAATTTGATACATTAACTGCAAGTATATCGTGGACCGAGGCGCTTCAAAAGCCTTGATTTTGATATCTGTTGTCTCTGGCATGGGTTGTTCAAAGCTCGGAGTTGACTCTTTAAAATGGAACTGGTTAATGTATATATGCTAGATGGAGAGTCTGTGTTGAGCAGTAGATAATTCGCGACGTTGTCAGACATTTCTGGTGAAGAAAGAATGATTGAGAAATCTGTCCTGATGCATGGTTAACATTATTTAACCATGGGACGAAAGTTAAAGAATACGAGAGAAACTAAGATTAATTATCAACGGCAATACCATACCCTTTTGAAGGATATCCAAACCCCCCAAAACATTGCCCTTTGCCCATTAGTTACACCTCAGGCATTTTCTCCTGTGATCGCTTCCGCCATGGTCGCTTCTGCCAGACCTTATGCCTAGCATGCATGGCATACCGATGCTCCTTCCCCTTGCTTTGGTAAGAACCTGCCACCTCGCTTATCCTTTTCTTATCGTCTTTGGGGCTACGATTGTTCTTCGTAGATAGTGGCTTGGGAGCTGAAGAAAGCCGCCCTTTGAGCCAGATGACATAGAGAAAGGGGAGGGTTAACAGGCCTGAAACAAGGACTGGAAGAAAAAGTTCATAAGCAAACAGATTTCACCAAGGGAAGTATTTGAAGAGATATGGCTTACAAATGATGAGCAGTACCCAATATGGGGCCTTGTGAAAAGATTCTACGTCCAAGGCAAAGAGAGACGCGAGGAAAGACGAAGGCAGCTAGGCAACACTTGTCATTTTCAAATCCTAACGAAGTGATGGCTGGAGTCACCCACGAAGAACGATGAAATGGCAGTGAAAATCGTCAGGTTTTTCCCCTGCTGAAAGCTTTCTTTCGCTTGATCGTTGGCAACCTGACTCTGCTCTAGAGAGAGCGTCATTTCCACCTATTTCGGAAGACTCAGCAAGATGAAGCATGTCGCTCGCGTTAAGTGTCTTACATTTGACTTTATGCGATCGGTAGTCTTGATCATGTCCTGGATCCATGCAGTAGTATCCACAAATGAGTCTTTTTGCAACTTCCTTTGAACATCCGCTTGGTGCTTTGCAATTGCCTGAAGCATTTGAAGCTCGTCGCGGATGTCTCTTATTTCGCTTGAAAGAATTGCCGCGTCGTTGATAGCTTTCTTGATTCGCTTGTTCCTCTCCACAGTGGCCCCCTTATGAAGTACCTCTCTTTGCTCCTTGGGTGCGCCGTCTTCCCATCCATGTGCTTTGTCTTGCTCCTTCGACGGCTTTGATTTCATACTCTCACAGAAGCCTTCAAATAGCCTGACGTCATTCCTAGCCTATGAAATGTAAGACTGAGGGTCATGGCCAGTGTTGACAGGGGGAGGTAGATACGTACAATTTTGTTGATGGAGTCAGAAAAGATCTGGCGAATGGAACCATCGGTACCGTACACCTCTGGGCTTGACTGCCGGTCGTAGGAATCGATACAGTACTGAACAATAGTCTTGGCCATCTCAAGCGGGGTTCGTGGCCCGACCTCCCTTCCCTCTGCTATGGCTTGTTCTTTGATATGCCTAAGTACGTTGGTCAAGAAGGGATCTTCAAATTGGTCTATGGGATGTGTGGTGGCCGTGATCAACCACTCTACGTGTGGGATGTTAGCATAATCTGGTATTCGATACCGGGAAGGGGGAGTCTGCTGACGTACTAGAGCCGATAATCCACACCCATAACTGGTTTACGCGAACGAGAGTCCAATGGGACTTTTCTGCTAGGCCTTCCTTGTGAATGTGCCTTGTGACAACTTGACTTTGGTTGCGTCTTTCCCGTTCGTGTTGTTGCGCAGTGTGTTCTTGGTCATTCTCCTCACCCTTGTGTTGCTCCCGTTGAGTCCTAGAGAAGTGATAAAAGGACTCATCAAGAGTTGCTCAGCCATAAACGACTTCCCCTTTGTAGAACTGCAGTAGGCGATGGTACTCTTTGAGAGCTTGTCTGAGCTTATCCTCCTCTTCGTCCTCCTTGCCTCCTTTCTGTTGACCCTTCTCTGTCTTCATCTGTTCCTCATCTGTCTTCGTCTGCTGGCTATCCCAGCCATGGCCGCTCTTGCCAAGGTCTTGGCTTCGGCATTGTATCGACAAGGTGAGGTATGGTATCTAGGTAATAGATGAGAATTCAAAGACTACACATGTCCGAATGGATGCTCACATAAATGGCATGTAGAGAACGATCAGAGCTATCGGCGCTAGACCCGGAGGTCTTTGATTGCGGCTTCCTCCCAGGTGTTAGATTAGTGGTGTGTCTAGGCTTCATGATGCGTGATTCAGACGTTCTGTCTGGGATCTGTGACCAACTAGCTTTGAAGAATGAATTCACTTCAGGAGCCCTCATCGACTTCTTCTCTTGAATATTATGGGGAATATGGCTAGGATCTCTTTTCCCTTTAGATGGCAGGCCGTCCTTGGATTGTTCGTCGCTTAAGCATGCTGAATCGTCAAGCAATATTCTTTTCAGCACGTCCTATACATCATATTTGTCAGATAGTAATCTTTGTGAGCAAAAACCTGTACTGAATTTAAGGCATGCTTACATTCATCCACGTTATCTAGTCGGGCTGGTCAGTTCAGCCTGTGGTTCAGCGGATGAGGAGAAGGAACTTACGTTGGTGGCTGGAAGATTGACCCATGTGAATAGGCTATCTCCGAGGCGATCTTCCTGTTGTTTGCAAATCCTTTGGTAAATAGGCGAGCCATTCAGTTTCTTTATCCTGGCCAATGTCTGAGCGGGTTCCTTGGTAATCTTTGTCGGCCCGGTACCGTAGATAACGTCCTGCACGCTGCGGAATTGAGTGAAAAGGGCTGACTTGTCCTTTCCCCCGAAGCATTCAATGACAGCAGCCTTTGAAACCCATTCCTGTAAAAACTCTTCTCTATCAACACTGGCTTTTGGCTGTGTTAGTTTCTCTTCCTCTCCTGATGTAACCGTCGGAGGAGGATCCCGCAGAATGGCTAGCACAAGGTCTTTTGCCTGCTGTCGAGACGAACGAGGTTTTTGCTTGTCGACTGTCCTCGGATCCTCTTGTTTCTCAGTTTCTGCTCTCTCTGCTTCCCTTTCTGCTTCACTCTGATGTCTACTTGTCTTCCCCTTGCCCTTAAGCCCGGCCTGCGCCTTGCCTTGTGCAGGCTTGTTGTTTTTGAAGCCGCTTTTCATTTCGAACTGTCTCTCGGCCTCATCCCATGCCGCTCGGTGTGGTACTCGTACCTTGGTTGGATCGGAAGTGGCTAGTAGGAGCCATAGCACGGAGGGCATTTCTAGATGGGCTGCCCACTGAATTGCGCTCCAGGTATCAGAACCTTCAGGGGGTGCTTTATTCGGATGCCTTATGTCCTTCAAATACTTTAAGATCGACTCTGCGTGACAGTGATTCTCTTGACGTTGAGCTGCCCACAGTAGCGCCTCCATTTCATCCTCCGAATCGAACTCCGTTGCAGTCTCCTTATCCGTCATCCACTTTATGATATCGGCGGGGTGTGTTTTGAGCGCTGAGTTCAGGGCTGTATCTCCTTCCTGATCCTGGAGACTCCTTTGCCCATCTCCCATCTTCACTTTGATTGCTTTATAGATGCCAAAGTTACCACTTCTCGCAGCCAGATGCAATGCCGTTTCTCCTTTGGCGTTCTGGATCCCAGGGTCGGCATTGTGTTTTAAGAGTTCAACCACCACATCATACTTGCGACCCTCACTCGCATCCCCCGTAGGCTCAAGGGCATACTGAAGCGCCGTGTTATTGCCCTCGGCTTGTAGGTTGCAATCCGCACCTTTATGGCAGAGCCGCTTCACGCATCTATAGAATAACCTGCGGCTGGCTGCGTGCAACGGAGTTTCCTGGTTTTTGTCAGCTTTGTTGATGTTGGCCGAGTTTTTCTCAAGGAGAATTCCGATAATCTCGTCTCGGTCGGATTCGACCGCTGTTCGGATCGGAGACCACCCAAATATATCAACGACTCGAGTGTTGGCATTGTAGGACTCAGATAGGAGAAGCTCTACAATAGCCTTGTGACCTTCCCTGCATGCCTCGTTGAGAGCAGTGGCCCCAGTAAGCTCTGTGGCCTCAATATCTGCTCCATGCCTCAGGAGCAGGTCCGCAATGGCCTTGTGTCCATATAGACACGCGATATGGAGGGGCTGTCGCCAGTAGCTATCCACCTGGGATAACATTACTTTGTCGTTCGGTTTGTAATCTAGCAGTTGCTTGACCGCCCACAACATGCCGCGCTCGACTGCCATGTGAAGCGCGCTGTTGTCACCCGCGTAGTGGGAAAGCTTGTAGATCTCATCACTCTCAATTTCCTGGAGTATCTTACTAAGGCGGCTGTTGTCCTTTTCATTATCACCGATGTCCTGGATAAATTTTTGCAACTCGGTCCTATCGTCAACAGAAGATGATGACGAGGATGAGGGGTGAGTAGGCGAAGCAGGCCGGGCAGGTAGTTCCCTACCGAAGCCTTCGATTTCCGACCGCACAGAAGAAGTAGGGAGGGGAGGGTTGGTATCAATGTTGACTTCGCTCGCCTTCTCGCCGGCTGCACGGTTAGGCCTGGGGCTATTTCCCATGGCTGTATACTTATTTTCTTTTCTTGTTCTCTATTCTGAAACGATAAATGAGCCTAAGAATGAGGCTGGCGAGAATGTTAAATCGCCAAGTCGATCATGTGGCAGGATAAATAACTTGAATAGTCTGCTCGGCTCCGGCCCAGAGAAGAGACGGGAAGAAGCGAGAAGCCTCAAAAACGCAAGCCCATGAGTATTTCAACGTAGAACCCGCTCGATTTGTTCCCCCAGTTCGTATTGTGTGCGGAGAAGCTGACTGCTGACAAGGGCCCATGCACATGAAAACCACTCAACATCAAGCCAAATACCAGAGACCGGCTTTCTCTCCAATTTGCTCATCAAGTAGCAAGGGGTGGGCTAACTAACCTCCCGCTGTCAACTGGGTATCTAGATGTGGTAAGCTTGTCACCAATGGAGGCTGGCTGCAGCAATCGGGCAACGATATTTCTGTTTCTGACTCCAATATAGAGCAAATACGGCAGGTTCAGCTCATGCGGGCTGCCTGACGAGTGCTACAGTAGTATCAAAACGTAGTAGTTGTATCTGCTGTCAGCTTAGCCATTTGTAATGCTCGGCGTTGTACACGTGTACAGCCAGAAGTGGAATAATCAATAACAAGGCTGAGAATATCACAATCATTAATTAATTAGAGATAGCGAATAAATAACAAAGAAGACTTATTATGGCGTTTAAGATGATGCCATTCCAATGATCCGGTGCTCACTTTCATGTGAAAGCTGCGTTCTTTCAATGCCGTGCCCGGCACATTCCTTTATCTCTTTCGCCGAATGTATGTTGAACGATGAATTTATCCCTACTTCTGTTCCTGCGGTTGTAATTCTGTACCCACATCTCGGGACCCAAGTGATTCATTGTCTAGTGGAAGCTGTCGTTCTTCCTTGGGAAGACGGAATCCCAAGTGCTTCAAGTAACTACCTGGGAACCATATGTTGTATATGACACACACGATGAAGATGGGAAGTGTGTCGAAGACATATTGACTATGGAGCCATCGTTAGCATGCTGTTTCTATCTTTATCATCACTTGAGGGGATGACATACTACCACTCTGCCTGTTGTGTTGTGCCTGATTTTCCTTGGGCAAATTCGATCATGCGAAAAATGGACCGAATCTACCAGCGTTAGCCTTCTCCCGCCCTTCTATAGCAAAATCAAGACGGAAACCTACCAGAATCAGAAGACAGGAGGCATTGACGACATAGAGCAAGGTCGAGTAGTGCTTGGTCATATTCCACCTCGTCTCGTTCTTACTAGCGTAGTCGTTGCTCAACTGCCTCGAAGTGAAATGGAAGCGCACCGCAGCCACGGAGAACAGACCAAAGCCAAAGAGCTGTACCGAAACACCAGCGAGTCCAAGGTTCTTGCCCAAATTCACTTTGTCCTTCGCATTCGAGTCAGTCGGGTCGGTGCCGGCGATGAGGACAGCAGCACACAGCTGCAGGAGGAGCGAGATAATATCGAATCCGACGAAGATGAGAGTGATGAATCGAGCTAGATAGCGTATGTTAGAAAATGTGACCTAGAGGCTTCCTTGTCCAGAGTCATTATGGGGTAGAGTACTCACGAGGAACCCAAATCATCCGCATCGTCCGATGCTCTGGCGGCACAGCCCAGAATACAATCCGGGAAAACACCACATAGATGACACCGGCCATCAGTACCGGAGCGAGAATTACTAGCGCGAATTGAACAACGTAGGGAGTCTTCTCCTGAACATTGTTTGCTGAGACCACACGGGTCGCAAACCCAATCACCTCCACTGAAGCGACAGTCATTAGCAAATGCTGGGGAGGGATACGATGTCGAGGAGGAGAATTTGAGAACTCGAGAAGTCAACTTACTTGCGATAGCTAGAAGCATAATGAGCCATACCCATGACCTCTTGCGAATAATCTGGACCAGGGTGACGAGGAAGCTGACCCCATACAAGCCGGCAACAACGCCAGCAAGTACCGCCGAAGGGGTGTAGAGGTAGTGTGAAGGTTGTGAGGTAGCCATCGAAGCGATAGTTGATGTGCTTGAAAAAAGTGAGGAAAGGAAATACTGGGAAGAGCTTGGATCTTTTCTTATCTAGGCTTCGTAGTGCCTTTTCCCATACAGCACAAGGAGCTGAGGGCATCCTTTATATTCATCATTCTCTCATTCGAGATATCGGTGGCCCCTGGCACCGATGCAATACAACATGATGGGCAGTGGATCAGCTCAACCCTGCTGAGAGATAGCTAGCGCAAAGCTACGTGCCAGATAACAGGCTAACTGAAGCAAGGAGGGATCGAGACTGCGGCTGAGCACAGATTGCTGATGTGGTGTCGGTGGAACGGCGATTAGGGTCCATTTGATTGGCCAGTCATGACCCACCTTTGCTCCAACAATGTCGGCCCACGCAACTAAACTTCGCCGATGTTGCGGTTGGTATGACATGGCAGCTCAGCAATGCCAGGATAGTTCTAATCTTGGAAATGGGAAATTTTGATACAAATTGGATACTAAGCATGGGTATCGGCAGTTTCTAGACCGTTAGGGGACTTGACTAGGCGTGGAGATGCTAACTTATAAGTAACATTTAAATATGTTCGAGCCGGATCTCAATGTGTATAAGCATTTCTTGATAGCTACATGATCATCATTTGTCTAGGCTCTTCATGACCTCCATACCCCGCACTTTGATTATCAACGGCAGTCTAGAGATGGTGAGTGCCGCGTCGGACGGCCAGACCGGGGCGCAACGCTCGCTTGCCCGACTACTAGCACAAAGGTAATTCTCCGCTAACGCGTGGCATAAACCAAAGAGACCTAAGCCACCATATGTATTCTCCAGCCGGGGAGCCATCGGGCGTCAAGGTTAGGGTGGATTGCTGGTTCTCCAACACTTTCTATGGGATTACAGCGTCTAGTTTCAGGGCAGCTCTGACTTCAGGAAGGACCGGGTGAATAGAGGCCGAGTACCGTCATGAGCAACGTCAAGGTAAGGTGGCTTGGTTGGTTGGGTTAAGTAAAATGAGACAAGCTTATCAAGATTGAGGCTCAACGGGGGGGACGGCTAATCCTTGGCCGTTAAAGTGACGTGTGCTTCAGACTTAGTGGCTTTTCTTGTAAGTATCTTATTCTTTTCCTGCATTAAATTCTCTCAGACGGGACATCTTGTATTAACAGATGGTTTGGGGGTATTACGAATTGCATCGCCGCGCTGAGCTCCAACACTCACTAATCGAACTCCTATGAAGACAACATTGAAATAAGCACACTTAATACCAAGAAAAATTGATGCTCTAGCTTTCGATTCTGTCTTTAGAAGATGTCGCACCATTTAGGATGCCTAAGCCATCGATATATACAGCCAAGGCAACCACAGTTGTCTCGCCAAACTTGTCAGATTAATTCACACGGCAAGAACAAAACCGAATTCCTGTGGTATTTCCAAGAGACATGGCAGATGTCTAGGCAGAATTTAGAGAGTATCTGGAGGTACTATGATCTTCGGCCTCTTACCTGTCGCGTTATATAACACGCAGATTGCTTTAGAGGTTTGCGCAAATCAGCAGACAATGGCTTCTTTTAAAGACGCCTTCAGTTGTGATATATCCGCGCTGTTCGTATAGTCCGCTATGAGAAAGCAGATGAACTCGATGGCAAAATGCGAGATCATGTAGGTCTAAATATTTGAACACGCCTCACGTAGATGTCATGTGGACTAGTCTGGCTATGCTAATTTAGCACGGATTACAGGCCAGCTTAGAGTTGGGCAGAGGGCACTACACTGATTGTTTGGATTTTCTGTAGGAATTCTGATCTTAAAGGGACCTCAAAGTAGTAAAAACAAAAGGTGAGGCACTTGGATTTCTTTGATGTGATGAGACTAGATGGGCGTAGCAATACAAAGTTCTAACGATATGTAGTAACCAGTATAATCGGACCAGTCTTGTTTATGTTCATATAAAATTGGGAGAATTGCTATTTATACCATAAAACACTAGAGAGACTTTGCAGAAAATAATGTCTTCTTAGCTTGGGCAGCTTCAAAGCAGAGTCCAAAATGAGATGGAGGAGGCCGGGATGTGGCGGGTGACCGACAATTCGCCAAGATGCGCTATTGTTTTTTCTGCGCAAGCTCCAGCCTCAGGTGATGATCTCTCGGCTAGCTATACCCTCCCACCGAGTTCAGTTGGGCAGGCCCAGGGCGACCTGAGGCCCTAATTTATTGCGGTTGTGATGGTTTGGGTGGGCCATTTGCCGTGGACGATGAGCTTGGCGGCCGCTTCTGGCTGCTTTCCTCCTCCTCCTCATCTTGCTGCTGCTTCAAGGCTTTTCGTTCTTTCATTCTCGGAATGATGCATTTGATAAGAATGACGAGAAAGACGATTAAGACGATGACGCCAATGACAAGGCCAATAATAGCCGGTTTGGATAGGTGAATGTAGACGACGTTCTTGTTCTTCTTTTCCTTGGTGATTTTGATCTTCTTGAATGATTTCTCTTTTCTTACGGTCAAATATACGCGTTCATCATCGCCAGAAAGAATCGGCAATGCGGCAGCATAGGCAAGCGGTATCGCCGATGCGAGGAGAGCCAGTCGAAGGGCTATCTTGGTGCCCAGTGTCGTGATCATTTGGCTGTGAGTATATGTTGTAGGACAGATAGAAAGTTCGGGGGAGAGAGGCGGCGATGGAATTGATTCAATGAGAACCATGGTCTTTATAATTAATGATGGGGATTGGCCTGAATGTCACAAGCGTAAGAAGCTATCATCGCTAGTAGCGCCACGACGGCGATATCAATATGTGAGCTGAACTTTTAGTGCTTTGCTTTGGTTAAGCTTAACCAGTCTAGACTCGCCCCCCTGTTAAATGGTGAGCAAATGACCATAGAACAGGCTGAATGAGTACTGATGGTTCTTAGTCGGAGAAATGCATTGGCTGGACTGGTGCGGCGGAGCAAGCAAGCAGACACCGAAAAGCATTCACACCAATATGTGCCGGATTACT